TCAGCATTTGCTCTATTTCTTCGCTTGTGACATAGTTGGATGTTGGAGGAGTAGAACTTGAGGCAGTTGGAAAGGAAGTATCATCAGGCGGGTGTACGTTATAGGGCTGGTGGATTTGTTTTGGTATAGTGTTTAGCTCCCCAGCAACGATACCGTCAAGTATCTGATGGTGATCTGTGGTATGGGTAACAAGTACAATGCCCATAACTTCTCTTGGTATTATGGTATCAAAACCAGTGTATATGTTCAAAATTTTTGTCCTTTTGCTAACTTGTTTTTAAGTGTTGCATGGAAATGCATCCCAAACAAGCCAGTTTAACATGCTAATGTTAAATATATTGAAATAACTTCAAAATTTGATGGTTTTGATCTTATATGAAATGAGCATCAGTAGAACTGTAGAAGAGAATTGAAAATTACCACATGATCCACCAGTACATCTAATGACTTTAACTCCTTCACATTTGAATCTACTACTACTATTATATTGATTGGATCTTTGATGTCTTCAACACTCAACTTGGCTTTTTTCCTCTTGATCACTTGTAATCTCCAAAACTATGTCGCAACTCCTCTTATTCAATGGTACTCTATAAATCTCCATCTGAATACCGGAGAACCAACAATAGCTGGAAAGCAATATAATAAATAAATAAGGGAGAAATTACTTTAAAATTAGCTCAGAACTTCTCCTTCTCCTCACCAGTACTGATTATCATATTGCTTATCACCTTCATGGTCAACTTCAAAAGCTTTTATGTTGAGAAATACTTATTAAAATAGGAAATAAGCCTAAAAGTAACTCCATTTTTCCAGCAATATTACTATCTCAATGCACAATTAAAACATATACATTATATAGACAGATAAATATAAACCAATCCACCTCAACAAAGGAACATTTTCACTTATGACTATTGTAGCGAAGGAAGAGTTGTAAATAGTATCACCTAGTTCGAAACTGACATCGAGGCAATATAACAAAAACGAAAGCCGTTCATACATGCCATAAAATTAACATCAAAGATCAGTGATATGTGCTTTATGGACATACCTCAGCAGAGGGCTCATTAGGGGGTCGTAATGCTGATTCGGCTTCATTCAATTCATCTGAAGGTGAAAGGGCAAACAAGTAGAGGCATTGAGCTATATGTGCTCCTTCAAACAATTAAAGACAGATTAATAAAGAAAAAAAAGTGAATGTCACTTCAAGAAAACAGAGAAAAAACATAAAATTGAATCCCTGGAAAGATGTTCAGGCAACAAAAGAGAGCTTCTTTTGGATGAAACCAATTGGTTTGATCTAGTTAGAAAAAGAAAAGATCATGGTTAATTTTATGTGATAAAAATCAGGTGGCATGGTGTTTACAACTGATGTCTTCCTAAAGCAAAGCTGATAAAACATTTAGCATAATGGATTGCACAAGGTAGAATGAGAAAATGACATGCTTGCTCGGATTATAAATGTAAAAAGTGAACGGTTTCTAACCAAATTAGTATCTTTTTTATTAAATCCATATGCACAGAAAACAGAAGAAAGACATATACAAAGAAATAAAATTTAGAAATTATCAATGAATGAAAACTGGTCCAGGAAAAGTTACCACTTCTCCCATATTGATTGGGATAGGCCTCTCCTTAAATTGATCGAATTACTGCATTTAGTCGAAGGTATTGGATGAGAATGATGAAGATTGCGTCCAAGTTCCAACTACCCCCATCCCTATGATTTGAACTTTTATTTCCCATCAATTCAATTCAATCCAATATACCTAAAAATTCTTAACCTGAGAATCCTAGAAACTTTACCCCGAATATCTAACAAAAGTCTGGAAATCCAAAGGGCACTTCAGAATCAATTACCCCAAAAATCCAATACACTGCCCAGGATAAAAAAGCCAGGAATAAAACAAATCCTCAAAACAATTTCACAAGAATCGAATGATAAATCTAAACTCTTGCAGAACAATATTCTTTTAGATCAAGTCAAACACATGCCCAAATAATTACAAAACTACCAAGAAACGAAATTGGTGTAGTTTTGAATGTTTTATTTCTAATTGATTTGTATTATCATGAAACACGAGAAAAATTCAACGAAATATGAATTTAAGTTGCCCAGAAAAAGAGAAGACGGCAGGTGAGACTTCGTCTACGCTGCGCCGACTTCTATAGACTATTACCGACCTATATATAAACTTCCAGATGCATGCACGGTTATTAGAAGTTCAATAACTCTAATTTGTTGAAATATACCAATCCACAGGAAATTGTATTGCCAGAGAAATTGAAAAGTAATAACTACTACACACAATACAAGCAAAACCTGAAGAAGAAAAAAAAGGAAAACACGTTCCAAAAAAATAATTGAAACAACAATTTCCATAGAAAATCTAAGTAACAATCGGAAAAGAAATTCTGGAAAAAAAGTAAAACTTACCTTCTAGCGAATGCATCAAAATGGATATCATGTTATAGCTAGCTAAGCAGAGAAAGGTGTTGGTAAGTATTGACTCATAACAGGGGCGGACCCAGAGTAATTTTGAAGTGCTCAGACAAAAAAATTGACTTGCTTCAAAAGCAAATTCATGAATATATAAACACATGTACACTTTTCTATACAAATGACTTAGCCAAAAAGGACTCTAGTTGCTCATTGAAAATTACAAAGCTAAATCAGTGTGCTAGAAAAAACCATTGTCACAATATGATGGAGTGATTATAAGAGCTAAGGAAAGCTAAATGAGCGAAATACCTAACAGCAACAATCTCCAGTGAATTAAACGTTTGTCCAACTGGCAATGTTTGGTTTGTCTCAATCTTTATTATTGAAAGTTTTATCTGAATATTTCCTGGTTGAAGCTGCAGTAATTGAGTATTAAAAATGTTAGAAGAGCAAGAAAGTGTACTTACAGCTCATAAAAAAAATGAAGTCACTTTGTAAAATCCTATGCNNGGTTAAAATAGCCAGGTTCCACCAAGTATACAAATGGAACATGACCGAACATGTCCTCAGATTTTATCTTCTAAATCGACCAAACTAACAATCCATCCTTCTCTTGCAAAGGGTGATTTTAGTAATTAACCAAATAATATTAAAGTCTATTAAATATAGAATAGCCCATCAACTAATCAAAGAATTACACCCACAACTTCATATAACAAAAAGAATAAAAGAACAAAAGTAAAGACATGCATAACAGCTTGATGGCAACTTCTTCTCCATTTTGACTATTGACACCTACATTAATAGAGTCAACAGATCTTTTCAGGATAACATGAGCAAAATTCACCTCCAGGATATCCACAAGAAAGAACACAAAAAAGGGGGAAAAAAGGACTGATTACAAAGTCCAAATAAAATGTACCTAAATAGAGTTCACTGAATGAACCACTTCCAATTTTCCTACCAAGCTTAAATTTTCCACCCACAATATGATCCTACATCTTTTCTATGAACCAAACTAAACCAGCCAGTCAGGTATGTGAACTATTTGGCATTTTGCCTTACGTTAAAATCCTTCCTTTCAATTTAAACAACAATAACAGGAAGATAAAAATAAAGGGAAAGTGTGTAACTAAATTACCTAGAAATGTAGGTAACCCCGGATTGTCCAATCTTGTTTACAGTGTGAAGAGTAACATTTCCAGATGCCTGCACCAAAAGAAGCAATAAAACACGTCACACAATCTTAAAAGGCCATGAAACTGGTAGCAACTAAGACCTCACTGCATACTATGGATAATATCAACAGTTGCTTGAGAAGCAAAGAAAAGAACAATGAAGGGGAAGAGATGAGGTGGCATTCATAGGGCTACCGGCTACCGGTGAACCAAACTATTCATAACAGCTTCCATTTCAATCATCTTAAGATTATTCAAAC